ACAAAGTTTTGTGTTAGTTCGACTCAGTGACGAACTCATGAACTTACGAGTGACAGGAGAAGAAAACGTGTTGATAATTTATCTTACAATTTTGGAAGAAAAATTTAAGCATGTGTTTATAAGTAAGTTAGATTACTTTCTATATTTTCAATTGGTTTTATGGTGGACTTTCAATGTCCTTTATGCTATCAAAGCAGATTGTCCCACATTCAAAGCAGATTGTCCCACATGTACTCTACGTCACCTTATTTGTGTTATCCATGTGTTTGGCTTGAAAATTCGAAACACGTAAGAGCACGTATTGAGAATGTCTCACATTGATGGAAGAAAATACTTTGTATGAGCTTATAAGTAAGTTGTGCTACTAACCATTTGCCAATTAATTTTATGATAAAACATCAACTTCCATCAAGAAGGTGCCATATTTTTCTAGACTTCGGTAGCTAATTATATACGTTAATTACATTAATTTGCCATGAAGGTTATACAATTTCAAAAGATGCAATCATGCAAATATTACAGCACAATTAGCAAAAGGGTATATCAAATCCAACTTCACTCTGCCGACGCAAGTTTTGGATGTTATAATGTCGATTGTAACACAATATTGGCCCGCAGAATGTTAACATTAATTTCACCTCATACTTAATTTCATGGTTTTAATTATTTGATTTTCAGTATCTAACCTACTTTTGTTCAATATTCTCTGCTTGTATTTTGGGAAAATCAGAAAAGGGCACAAAAAATTAAAAGGGTAATTTTATTTAAAGCTACATAATCTCTCTCGACACCCAATTTAAACTTTAAATGTGAATTGTTTTTTTTACTCTATTGCATAATTATCATAAAGTACAAGGTGAAGTCAATAATAAAACTAAAATTTATGAATAAACCCACACCCTATAATTAAACCCTACCATCACTTCTTGTTTATATTACATTCATTCCAACAAAACCCCTAACATCTCTTATAATAATAAAAAAAAAGCTTTAAGAAAAAGATCAAATCATGAAATCTTTCTACATCAGTGGTATCTGCTGGATGGGGTTTTCAAAAATCCATTTGGAAATTTGAAACTTTAGGAAAAAGATCAAATAAAAATTCATTGAAGCAATTGATAGTAAAATTTAAAAAAAAAAAAAGTAATAATAAAACAGAAATCTCTATTTTTAAAGAGCTAAAAATTCAAAGAAATTTTAAACTCATAGAACCGTTGATCTTCCAGCTTTCAAAATGACATTAAGTTGTAAGAATTCAAAATTTTCAAGGAGGACCTTTTGAAGTTTTGTTGTGGGTTTGATTTATGAAATAATTTGGGGTTGCCTTGCCTGTAGATGCAAATATTGGGCATGAGGCAATGCTACATTGATAGGTTCTGCAAAATCGAAAGCAGAGATTGTAACATCCCACATCGACCAACGGAGAGGGGGTGATGTGCCTTATATGTACATGCCCACATCCATATAGTACGAGGCTTTTTGGGAACTCGGTGACTTCGGATTTCATCGGAATTCCGAAGTTAAGCAAGTTTGGGTGAGAGCAATCCTAGGATGTGTGACCCACTGAGAAGTTACTCGTGAGTTCCCAGAAACAAAACTGTGAGGGAATGGTAAGCCCAAAGCGGATAATATCGTGTTACGGCGAAACCGAGACTGGGATGTGACAAAATGGTATTAGAACCACTCTACCGTGTGATGCGAGTGTGCTGACAAGAACGTCAGGCCCCTAAGGGGGGTGGATTATAACATCCCACATCGACCAACGGAGAGGGGGTGATGTGCCTTATATGTACATGCCTACCTCCATATAGTATGAGGCATTTTGGGAACTTAGGGGCTTCAAATTCCATCGGAACTCTGAAGTTAAGCGAGTTTGGGCTGCTGTGTGATGCGAGTGTGCCGACGAGAACGTCAGGCCCCTAAGGGGGGTGGATTATAACATCCCACATCGACCAACGGAGAAAGGGTGATGTGCCTTGTATGTACATGCCCACCTCCATATAACATGAGGCTTTTTGGGAACTTAGTGGCTTCAGATTCCATCGGAACTCCGAAGTTAAGCGAGTTTGGGTGAGAGCAATCCTAAGATGCGTGACCCACGGGGAAGTTGCTCATGAGTTTCCAGAAACAAAACCGTGAGGGAATGGTAAGCTCAAAATGGACAATATTGTGCTACAGCGGAGCCAATACTGGGATGTGACAGATTTTGGCGACTGCATTGTAGATAAATGGGCGTATAGCTTAATTTACAAATTGAATTGGGTTTGTAAGAATATTTTAAGTAATAAATTTGGGTTTAAAGAGATATTGGTATCTTAATTAAAAGTAATATGGATGTAAAAAGCAAGTTAAGTGTATAAAGAGGTTGTATAGGTTCAAATAAAATTTCCCGTTTTAAAAAGATTTGAAGCCATGCATGTTCCTTTTAGTTAAGTTCAAAATTTTCTGTTCATATTTTTCGTTTGTTATATATTCAAAATTATGACTTTTCTCTTCCCATTTTGTTATCTTTCTAATGCAAAACTAAACAATAAGCTCTACATTACATTCTCAACTGAATATCTATAAGCACAACATAAATTATTAGAGAATCATATTTCCCTTTAGTTCTAGAGAATAGTTCTTGATAGAAAAATAAAAACGAAAAAAGAGGTTAGGCTTAGGATCAAAGATTTGACTCCTCCATTGAGACCAAAAAAAAAAAAAAAAGATTAAAATTATCAGAAACTAAATCTTGATTGTCAAATTGATCAGATACCATTATAGACCCACCATATCACCCATTTGTTAGTTTAGCACTTAGATGTTGTAGAATCTTTTGAACAGTTGCATGAAAAAGACATTTTATTGGCTTATTTGAAATTTCAAAATTTCGAAATTTGAAAATGAAAATAATTTCTATTTCTTTAACTTTTGGAGCAAGGTCGTTATCCCTGCCTAATGAATTTTTTGGGGGCAATGAACTATAATGATCAAAAACTAAATTTTGATTACCAACTTAATTTCATTTTTTTTATTTATAAAATTAGTTAGTTCAGCACTTAAACATATAGAATCATTTGTCCCTAACTTGATAATTACCACCTGCCAACTGCCAACTCGTTCGATGTGAATTTTATCATAAAAAGCTTGAATGTTAGTTGAAATATGGTAATCATATTTAAACTCTTCTTTCTTTCTTTCTTTCCCTCACCGATAAAGGATACCCAATAACAACATGTTCCTCAATCAAATCTCTCTCCTTACTCATTTATTTTTTTCCAACTTGTGGACAAGGCATAATTTCATTTGTCCACAAAAGCAAAAAAGAATGTCCTCCTTATCATGGGACAACGAAACTGTTCAATTTATAATCTTTGAATATTGTTACACCTTGTTGAATTGTTAGTTCCTTCTTTTGTTCCCATTCAACTATAAATATTATCCCACAATACCTCCAAAACCACAACGGACATACTTTGTGAACAACAGCCGCCCCTTATCGAACTGTGCATCATTGGACGTAATCCCCTCCAATTCCAATTTTTAATTCTAGTATTATTAGTTTGTGTCATTGAACCCTTAATACGACAAAAACTTGGATTATGTAAGCAAATAACAACCGAATGGATTTGAATTCCATCCGGATTCTCTTTGTGAAAATTCTAAGCATTTTATTCGTTCATCATACATCGTGCGATCATAAATCATTTCAAATTTTTTATTTAAACTGGCCGAACGATGAACAATGAACGAATAGGATGTGAGAACTCCTGAGATCCTTACAAAAAGGATCTAGAAAGGATCCTCATCCTAAGTGATTGAGTAACGTCAGATCGATCACATATTTGTACCATATTATTATATTATATGATATGATAAATGGTATATACAATTAGTATTCAATAAAATTAGAGGGGGTATTGAGGGGGAGCGAAAGATGCAGTTGCACAGGACTTCAAATTTAAAAGGGCCTCCAAAATTTTTACCATATAATATTTATATGTAATACTGTTCTATATTTAAAAATTAATTTTATTAGTACTTTAAATTTCATTGCGCACTCCTTATAAGCGTAATTTTTTCCCTTAAATACAAAAATTTGGAGTATAATGAGATATTTTGAGTGCCAATAATAACACCTTAAAAATGGTATTTTTTTCTTTCAATTTTATTATATAATAATGTTACATATTCAAGTGAAACTTCAAAGTTAGAGCTTTTTTTTTTTTTTTTTTTTTTTTTTGTTTTGTTGTTGTTTAAAATTGAATTGATTTTGATTATTTAGTGAACGTTATGTTTGTAGCTCTTTATACTTATTATTAATGACATTTTTAAACTTGCAATCAGTGAGTGCTAAACTTTGTTTTGATTTAAGTAATTGATTTCTAACATCAATACATTGTCCTACCTTTTTAAAAACTATCTTAAGGAGGCACCCCTTTATAAATTTCGCCCAGGACCCCCAAAATTTCAGAAACGATCATGAAGAAAATAAACTCATTTATTGACATAAAACAATTGTCACATCAGACAACATTTTTCATTAGATTATCTTTGAGTTTCATCCAAACCAAGAATGTGGTATGTGCACATGAATTCATATGTATGTAAATGCGATCTATGTGGTACGTGCACATGAATTCATATACTATATATACATTGAGCATACATTGGATGCGATCTAGACAAATTACATTTCATATCAGACGACTAAAAGCATTATAATTAAAAACCTAAGCAATCATCTATATATAGAATGTCATTTGTTATTGGATATCACATTCCATATGGGTTTTTCATATTTCATAATATTAATTAACATGCATGTACATGATACATGTATGCGTTTATATCTATAGAAGGTAATCTATATATAAGATTATCTTCCATAAAAGATCAGATACCCTTCCATGTCAGGTCATTAGTCATACATATTTCTCTCTTATCTTCATGTATATATAAATCTCTGTGCCAACAAATTGATATATCCAATCAACAAACACCAACGAATTGATCTCACTAAACCTTGACCTTTTCTCATCCTAACTTTATTGTTTCTCCTTATAGAATTTCCAATGGGTGCTATGGCAGATCCCTATAGAGCTCATCTCCATCATATCATCCCTATCGACTTTAATTCAGTCCAGAAATTGCCTGAATCTCATGTATGGCATGATATATCTCACGAATCTTTGTTCGGGGTCCCCTCCGCCGACCCGTTACCCGTACCTGTCATCGACCTCATGGACTCGGAGGCTTCAAGTCTCATGATCCAGGCATGTGAGACATGGGGTATTTTTCAGGTGATAGGCCATGGCCTTACAAAGCTTATGGAGGATGTGGAGTTTGAAGCTGAAAAATTGTTTGGTCTCCCTGTTGACCAAAAACTGAAAGCCCTAAGATCTCCAGGTGGGGCCACTGGGTACGGTCGTCCTCATATATCGCCATTTTTTGACAGACATATGTGGCAGGAAGGGTTTACCATCATGGGGTCTCCAATCGATCATGCTAAGCAACTTTGGCCCCAAGACTATCAAGGCTTTTGGTAAGTCCTCCATGCATTTTCATGCACGTAGGCAAAATGACAAAATTAATTTTATCTTAATTATAAAGTTTGCATATCATGATTTTTGTTTGGGATATATGTTGGAAGCAACTTTGAGTAAAAGTTTGTTTTTGAGAGGGTATATTTGTTATAGTTAGAAACGATATCTACTTTGTTCAATAATTTATTTAAAAATAAATTGTCACTTACCCTCCTAATTTTTACCCAATTGTCAATTTACTCTCTGAAATATATTTTAGTGAATTTACTCTCTAAAATTTTAAAGTTTCATCCAACTTTCTAGAAAATTGAAAGATATATTACACATACACACACACACACACACACACACACACACACACACACATATATATATTATCCTTTAAGTGTTACATTTAATCAAAATACAACTTACATTAAGTTTTCTACGTGTTTGCAGTGACACAATAGATGATTACCAGAACCAAATGAAGGCTTTAGCAGAGAAACTAATCCGCATTTTCTTCAAATCCTTGAACATTAATTTTAAGGAACTGAATTGGCTTAATGACAGTGGGTTAAGTAGTCCAGGTACTGCCTTGCAACTAAACTCCTACCCGCCCTGTCCCGACCCAACCCGAGCCATGGGCATGGCAGCACACACAGACACATCCCTTGTCACCATTGTCCAACAATCCAAAACCAGCGGCCTCCAAGTCTTCAAAGATGGAGTCGGGTGGGTTCTGGTGCAACCAGTACCTGGTGCCCTAACAGTCAACCTCGGTGACTATCTCCACATTCTCTCCAATGGGATGTATACAAGTGTTCTTCATCGTGCGGTGGTGAACCAGCAGATCCAACGGTTTTCCATGGCCTACTTTTATGCTCCCCCAAGAGATTTTACTGTCTCCCCGGTTCTCTCTAGGGTTATGGGACAAATGCCCAAGTACCGTTCACTCACAGTAAAGGAGTATGTTGACATCAAGGGCAAGCATTTTGAAAAGGCACTTTCTTTGATTCAAATTTAGTCATGTGGATCTAGGGTTTCTAGGTCAAATTAGTACGCAGCCTTTCATTTCTCTATTAGCCATACAAGTATGCATGCTGCTGATTAATCTTGTTTACATTTCATAACAAGATTTGAGGGAGGCTAATTTATTAGAAGTTTTCCTTCGCTCTCTATCATACATAGATTGGAGAGATATTTCAATATGATCGGAATACGAAATGGTACACCACGTGTCCCTGTGATGAGATTTCTGTGTAAAAAAGTAATAACATAAAAAATAACATTTCCTACCATTTATATAACAACACGTGGTGTATCATTTGTATTACAGGCCAAAGGAAAATTTTCTTTGCAGATTGTTAGCTTTTGTATTTCTTTTAGGAATCCAATTGGTCAGAGATACCTATTCTTGATTGTCAGCCGGATTCCATATTTACAGTGGATATAGGATTCTATTGCAATGTTTAATTATTTTGATTACTAGTCTAAAAATGTAGCATATTATTGTGTCTTTTTTTTTATTGAACCAAAAAACAAGCAACATCGAAGATAGAGAGAATCAAACACATGATTTCGGGTATCAGAATCAAGAATAAGTCAATTTAGCTACATGATAAGAATGCCAAACAAACATGTCAAAAAAAATTAAAGATAGCATTTGTACATGTTCTCTCAACTTCCGGAAAGAGGAATAAGGGCGACCACTTTACAAACTCTCTTGGAAAAGGCAACAAGTAACCATGTTCTCATGCAAAGGTATAATACCAAGTTTAACTCATTGTCTGACTTTTTGGTCGAAATTTCAATTAAAAAACCTAGTGTCATTACTATATTTTGTTAGTTTAGTGACAAGTAACCTAAACGGCTATTCAAATGTTACACATTATCTTGCTTGTAATACGCTAAATTTAGAAAAAGAATTGTTCAAGCAGAGGACAAGTCGTCGGGTAAAACTTTACGGGGGGTATTTAGACCACATTATATAGAGATAAACTTATAACAGTATTAAATTCTAGGCTTTTTAGTCAAAATGGTATCTAAGATTTGCATAACACATCATTTTGGTCCCTGAGATTGAAAATCAATAGAAATGGTCCTTGAGATTGTCCACCATCCATTATTTTGGTTCGTCTGTTAAAAACTCCGTTAAGTATCCGAAGCTCTTGGCCGGAAGTTTGGGCAATTTTCAAAGCTTCGTAACTCAATCGTTTCTTAACTAAATTCGACTCATAAAATATCAAAATAAAGATAGGAAAGTGTAAAATACGATTATATCTATTTGGAAGCCCAATGATTGCCGGAGATGGCTGGAAAATAGCCTGAAAGGTGACTGGTCCGCCGAAAAACTAGAAAACTCGCCTGAAACTAGGTAAACTTTAAACGTTCATAACTTCTTCAATACTCAACAAAATTGAGTGATTCAAAAATGAAAATCATACTTCTCAACTAGACGAAGAGAATGGTACCTTTTTTGATGGCTAATTCGCTGTGGTTTGGCCGGAAAATGACTCAAAAGTGGATAACTTGAGACCAAGACAACCACTTTTGAGCCATTTTCCAGCCAAACCATGGTGATATAGCCATCTAGAAAGTTACCATTCTCTTTGTCTCATCAAGAAGTATGATTTTTGCTTTTGAATCACTCAATTTTGTTGAGTATTGAAGAAGTTATGAATGTTTAAAGTTTACCCAGTTTCCGACGAGTTTTTCAATTTTCCCGCGGACCAGTCACCTTTCAGGCTATTTTCCGGCCATCTTTGGCAACCATTGGGCTTCCAAATAGGTATAATATTGTTCTACACTTTCCTATCTTTATTTTGATATATTATGGGTCGACTTTGGTTAAGAAACGATTGAGTTACGAAGCTTTGAAAATTGCCCAAACTTTCGACCAGGAACTCTAGGACACTTAAAGAGTTTTTAACGGAATGACCAAAATAATGGATGATGGAAAATCTCAGGGACCATTTCTATTGATTTTCAATCTCATGAACCAAAGTGATGTGTTATGCAAATCTCATGAACTATTTTGGCTAAAAAGCATAAATTCTATGTATTTTGGTTCAATCTGAATTTTTTGTGGCATATAAGAGATGCCTAATCAATCTGTTTTATTCAAGTTTTTCTCTTTCGAGCAACTATAAAATAATAAAATTATAGTTTGAATGGCCTTTAGTTTTCTAGTGTTAATTTTGAGAGGTGTGCTCGAAATCCCGCACTCAGTGTTAGAAAAACTTATCATTACAGTCTATCACGCACGAGGAGCCAAAAATTTCATGACGCATTATTCTTTTTGTTAACGATTGCATAGATATAATTTATGTCTTTATTTTATTTCATTTTTTGTTTAAAGTTTTTTCTTATATAATGTTTTTTGTTTTATACATCAAATCACATTAATGCGTCCAAAGAAAAAGCCTCATAGATTATGCAGAAAGGAATCTTACAAAACATGCCACATAATTGACAAGTACTTGTATGTTTTACGTTTTCTTTGTTTTTTGATATGATATTTTACATTAACCATGAGAAAATAAATTGGTATCGGTCAAACTCGTTATTTACGGATTTAAATCTAAGATTTGTCATTTACATACATACATACATACATTATGCAGAAAGGAATCTTATAAAACATGCCACATAATTGACAAGTACTTATATGTTTTACGTTTTCTTTGTTTTTTGATATGATATTTTACATTAACGATGAGAAAATAAATTGGTATCGGTCAAACTCGTTATTTACAGATACAAATCTAAGATTTGTCATTTACATACATACATACATACATTCATACATACATATATATATATATATATATAAATGAATATGCTCTTAACGATAATCTAACTCACTGGTCTTCTAAATTTAAAATGTGTATTTGCTAACCAATGATATTTTGTCCGCTTTTATTGAAAAGATCCAAAGTTCAAACCCTTTTTTTTAAAAAAAAAAAGAAGTTAATTAATTAAAAGAAGCGTACATATGTAAAGGAAGATTATTACAATGATGGGAGATAATTAGTCACATGTGCACTTAAATTTGAAGGCGGATATCAGTTTAGCTAAGTTAGAATATTGTATTATCTCTTATGCTCCTAAATTTGATATCTTCCTCATAATTCAAAAATATTAGCGTAAATTGTCTTATCATTTGTAAGAAAATGATATTAGAAATGCACAGTGGATCAAAGCAAAGATGCAATCAATTAATTAGTTAAATTGGACTTATATGGTTGACACATCAAGTAGTAATGCCAATGTGTCATCATATAATTGCTGACTGTGCCCTAATCAAAGTATATGAAGATGGATGGAAACAAAAATGTCAATGTTGCTTAATTGTCATTGATGTCGTATCAACATACTTCAAGCCTGACTTTGAATGGAAGCACTTCCAAAGAGTAAGCCATCAAACCCTCGTCGGTATGGAAAAAGATAAGTTCACTTTTTACATCAAGCTGATTTTCCTATTCATTGTTTATACCTTGGTAATCACTATTCACTAATTGTTTTACTATTCACAAATAACGGAGATAGCCACCTCATTTTTAGCGGGATTCAGCCTCTACTTTGTTAGAGGAGATCATCATTTCAAATCTCATGAACTAAAACTCTTGAACAAAAGAACAAATAACGAAGATAACTTCAGTATATACAACATATACGAAACTCACTGGGGATAATTTTTACACACAAAATTCGTTGAGTGAGCATTCGACTGATGGTCCATGGCATGAGGAACTGACTCAACTGAGGATGGTTGAACTCCTCAACTTCACATGTTGCGGAGATGTTCTAAAAGGAACCTCTTCCGAGTGCCTCAACGGGGAAAATGTTTACAAACAAAAAGAATTGATTTTTAATTTACAAGTCATATGGTGAATTAGTTCCTCATATCAATTCAGCAGGTAAAGCATTTGACTGATAGGCAATGGCATGAGGATGGTTTAACACTTCACTCGTCGGAGATGTTCGAAACAGAATGTCTTCGGAGTACCTCATTCTTTGCACATTCCTCCTGGATGTTTAAAGATCTATATCAGTGATTTCGAGGGACCTTGGAGTACTGATTAGATATAGTTTGGCAAGAGCCGGGAAAATGACCACCAATTCCCGCCAAACTGCTTAACCAACACTATTACATTTGTGTAGTAGTGGCCAATGAAAGTGAAAATGCTCGGAAATTGTATTTTTATAGATACTGCAGTATAACATTACAATACTAGCATACCCCGGCATTCTCTTGAACTAGCAATGAACTAAAGTGCCACAAACACTAACTGTTAACTGTGATGTCATGATTACAATGCTTACCTGAAAAGCTTTTAAGAGTGAATAACAGTGCCTTTGGTCTGCATTTGCTGCAACGTACTTTTCCTTGAGAGAATCACAAACTTTCTGCTCTTCTTGAAGCCAAGTTGCACCCTTCGAAGTTTCTGTAAGATGGATTTAGCAGCAACCTTCAGAACAGCTAGAAGCACCGGAGAAAAAGTATGCACAGAAATTGAACATGAGTTCAGGTTAAAGAAAATGACATAATCGATCTGTGCAATGTTGAATCCTTATAAGAATTGACAAAGCACACATATTGTTTCCTTAAAGAGCATACAAAATTCATTTAATCCGAAATACACTTGATACAGAACTTGGTTAATTATATCAGTTTTCTCTTATTAGTCTCTTTAAAAGGCTAATAGCTCAAACTTTATCTCATTTCTCCCTTCACTTGGTGGGAACATCTGTTCGGTTGCAATCCTTATCCTAAACTATAGATGACACTAGTGATCACATAGCTATACCTATACCTATGTTTTTGTCTTGAGGCTTAACAAATTTGTAGTGCCGAAGTTGTATAAAATTTACTTTGATACTAATCTCTGCGTTACTATCAAGGAGCTTCATTGTTAAAGATTCATTATCAACCGTGAGGACTGGTCACACAGTAGCTGTGTTCACCAGGTGGCTGCAAGGCATAATTTAGTCCTCTCCAAAGCTATGTATACCTTCAATGCTAGTTAGAAATTTAACCGGCCTTTCCTCGAG